CTACCAGTTACTTGTGGGGAAAGCATCATCCTCATATACCTCAAGTCTAGTTGATTTCACAGCTTCGTCGGTCTGGTTTAGGTTTTTCATTTGCATTCGTTGTGCTTTCGATACCCCCAGTAGACATTCCATACCAAGGCATTCTTTCATGGTTCATTTCCCCCCCCCCCCCCCGTCCTACTAGTCCCACGTTGTGGATTTCTTAGTCAATCGGGAGGATGGCAAACGGATTTTACTCGATTACTGCACTACTCTCTATAATCAATCTGTTTCCGAGGCCTTGAGCTATGAGGCATCCGATTTTGATGGAGACTATAGCTTCCACGCCGATGGGCTGAACCAGAGACTTGACGATTTTGCTTATATTTTCAAGCGGTTCGCGGAAATGCGTCATCCACATTCGCGCCGAAAGTCTCCAGTTCACCCTACTATTCTGGGGCCCTACTCGAGCTTTTCCACTCTTCCCGCAGATGAGGAAACAGAGAACTCGGCCGCATCAAGGAGGATGGTAAGTTTCTGTTGCCTTTCAACCGCCGCATTTGGTGCTTCTATTTTTGATCAGGGTATTTGTTCTTTTGTCCCGGCTTTGCACCCTAAAACTACCTTTGTTTAACTGGGGATGGAGCGTCTCAGAGAATCAAGATCCGTCCGCTCCAACGGGGTGCTTCTATTCGATTCAAGTAGAAGACTTTTTCTGAGTGACGGACTGAATTCCTATTCAGAATACTCCGAGGGCTGGTGTCCAATGGGACGGCGAAATGTCTATAAAAAATTCGGTGTTTGGGCCTGTTATAGGAAACACCCTTAATGTCGGCATATTGTGAAACTTCTCGGCGTTTGGACATGACTAGACTGGGGTTCAATCCTTGATTGGTTGCCCACACTAAAACTGGGCGAATCACACGTAGACTTGTCGCAGTCAGTACTCTCCGCTGGTCAAGCAACTGTTCATATAATGTCATCGTTTTGAGGTTTAACTGGATGTGGAGCCACTCCTCCCGGGGAGGAGATCACTTTTTTATTTTTGCCACGTGGTTATTATTACTATCACGTGTTGCCGAATAGCTGAAATGATCTTGCCGGGTATCATGTCTTTTTCACTTTCAGTCTATGGCCATTGAAGACGGGTATGCCCCAGCATTCCAACGTCCTTTCACCGTTTCCCAAAGTGAGTTGTACACCCATATATTTCTCGTCGCGCAGGGGAATGAGGTAAGGAGTTCAACAGTGCACTAACTTTATCCAGTGGTTATCGACAGTTGGGGGTTCGCAACGGTGTGCCTACGTGTTGCTTCGGAATTTATACACACCTTTATACATGTAAATCATACACACTTGTTACACTGCCTTCAATCCTGTGGACAACTTTTTTTCGCAAACTCTGGAATCTGTTGGAGTTCAGGTTCACATCACTCTAGTTTGAGCAGTCTTCCTCATGTCCTGGTGTAATTACTCTGGCGAGTCCACGCCGAAAGGGGAAGCTTCGGACACGAGTTGCGCTCTCCTTAGAGCTCTTAGCAGTTGCCGGTGTTTGACCTCCTAATACGCGAGCCAGCATGTGGGGAAGCTTCGGACACGAGTTGCGCTCTCCTTAGAGCTCGTCAGCAGTGCCGGTGTTTGACCTCCTAATACGCGAGGCCAGCATGTTACCACTACTCCACCAGCACACTCTGGATGCATCTGAATTTTCACATGTGAACTGGCAAACGTGTAGACTCACCAGAATAATTACGTGATGACTGTTCTGATGAGTGGTGTGAACTTGATGAGCTCTACCAGTCCCACTCACTAATCGGAATTGGTTAGAATGTACGCTAAGCAGGTTTGAGCTGCGTATTGGGGCGGTTTCAACGAAATACGCGAAGGAAAAGCGACAGGGTGCCCCTGTTTCTCGCCCCGATGATGATAACATTAATCCAACTGAAATCGATGTTGAAACGAGGTTGTTGTGTACCTTTGTATTGTCAGCTTTTGTCTTGGGCACCTGTGACAAAGTCCCTGACTGAACAGACTATTTTGAGTTAGGTCACTGTCTTAAGTACGGATCTTCCGTTATAAAGATACTCGATGACCGGTAGTACAGCTGCTTCACTTTTTGTTTTTGCGATAAAATTGAGTTTTCTAGTGAGTATGCCAATCGCAGCTGTATCCCACAAACTCTTATGTTCGCTTTACCTCCTAGTTGACATGCAGAGTCTTGAGAGGCTGAGATCCAGCTGACTGGGAGTTCTGTGGAGCACATATCTGCAGCTGTTTGACGTTCTTAGTCTTCTTGTTATACGGGTGCATGTGTTTAGTTTCCTTGAATTCACGGTATCCATAGTCTGATAGGAACGTTCTAATAGCTCTCAAAGAGATCACTTTCAGAAATCCCATCCAATATGGATGTTCATTCCCTCCAATAATGTCAGCATCTCAATTGTAAGTCCGCTGCAAGTTTTATAGAATTGTGCAATTGCTTGGGACCATGCAAAGTCGAGACATGCACGCTGTCCTTCAAAATCACTTTTTGAAAAGTAGAGGTAACTAATGCGTCCCTGAAATGGCTGGCTGACGTTCGTCTCGTGACCCAGGCTTATGCCAACAAAACAGGAGCTGCGACCCGTGAATATGTCCTCTTCATTGGAGGAACTGCACCAAAGGCATGCAGCACTTTGGAGATTTTGACATTGGTGTTAACCCTATGCCGATGGGACAGACGAACTACGGGCACAAATCCTGTACGCCAAATTGTTTGTTTACTTCACCATTTGTTTTCCTCACATGATATACGTGCAAGTTTCCACAGCGTCAGGCTGCAGCGAATATTGTGTTGCTTCAGACTTGTTAGACTGATAATGTTACGAAAAACTCAAGATAGCTCACTGTTAAAAGCGCGAACTTACCAAAAGGAAGGTTCGTGTTCGAACCTGGCCCCGGCATCTCGACTGCTCCTGTCTAGGCTTGGGCAACCTGGACCTCGTGCTTCCTCCTCGTAGCCTGGTAGCTAGACATCGAGGGGATGTTACAGTTGAACGATTTTTCTCACGGAATCTCACATCGATTTGCTTCAGTAGGTTCGCTACCATTCTAGTATGGAACAGCTTGCACACAGGCACCGCAATTTGGGAATAGTTCCAGCAGCGCAGAATATGGTGGCTTTATTCCATAACCTTCACAATCCTACCTTTTTTACTAGCTGTTTCAACATTGATTATTGGAAACGTAAGCGATTCACGCGCCTCTCCTTGTTTTTTTTCAGAACCCTCATGTCCGTTCTCTTCTATACGCAGTCCTGGTGGAGTACATTCGTTCACTTGTGGAACATGAGATCCATGTAGATGTGAGTTGTTCCCCTGCAAGATGTAAGATATAATTTCTGCTCACTGTGTTTCTACCATCATCCCCTACACCTTTTTTTGCATGTGTATGACTGATATTCCACATCGGTAGTAGTAGCATAAAAATGTGACGCCTAAATGAGTGCCTTGATCGTTACCGTTTGGCGGACTCTGGAAACTCGAACATACTTTTCAGTGAAATACATTGAACACGTCGATGGTCACAACCAGGGCAGTTAGGGTCGTCGTTTCGGTGCGTCCAACTTGCGCTGTTGAAGTAGTGATAACATGCTTGCCTCGCATGTCAGGTGTCAGTTTCAAAACCCGGGACGGCCATTAGAAATGCACTGCTGATGAGTCCTAATAAGAGGGGAACTCGAGTTCAGTGCTTCCCCATCTCTTTGGTGTGGATTCATCAGAATAATTGCACTAGGACAGGAGGACGACTGTTCAAAACGAGAGTGATGTGAATGTGAGCAATACACATCCCGCAAACCCCACAATATGCATGAACACAGCATCCTTTACAGGTCCCTCGGAGTGGTTCGATAAAGATTGCAAAATTCCTAGCTATTGATCTTTCGGTAATTATTTGAAACTTTCGCGTCCTTCAATAGTCAGCTAACGCTTTTGAATTCCACGGGCACCAAATACTCACCCATCATGCTGTGATCACATTTGGGTACCGTTCAGGGACGAATGCCGCGACGCAGTGTTGACGGTATAAACACTGCACCCGTCCTAATGCATTTGAGGCGAAGTTGTGTGCATTTCACTGGTGTATCTGTAACAACTGAAGTACGATGCCGTTACCTATCGCGACTTTGTTTGTGGTAAAAAAAATAAATCGTTCAGCTGTAACGCCCTTCCGCGCTTAGCTGCCATGCCACCTGAAGGAAGCACGAGGACTGGGATACTGCCAGCTTGCCCAAGCCTAGACAGGGAAGTCGAGAGCTGAAGGTCGGGTTCGAACCACGGACTTTCCGGCCAGTAGGTTCGCGCTCTAACCACGTGAGCCATCTCGCCCCGTATTAACCATTGCACCCGTCCAAATGCATGTGAGGCGAGGTTGTGTGTATTTCACTGGTGTCTCTGTAACAACCAAAATACGATGTCGTTACCTATCGCGACTTTGTTTGTGGTAGCCATCTTCCCAACGTTTGCTTGGGTGTCCATCATTCTGCTTAAGGAACAATCAACGCAATAAAAATCGTCCTGCACTATCTGATTTGCAGTTGTACGTTGTTGCCTAGTAAAGTGATTCGTGTCTGGCATCAGTTTTTCACCCCTTTGATTCCCGCTTACCAGCGCTCATCGATTTTTTTGAAACGGTTTTTCCCGTTCAGTTCAGAATCAATCTAAGTGAAACATTTCCTTCATCCTACCCCGTCCCTTCATCCATCACACCGAATTCCTGTAGCCTGTCATTAGCTAACTCCAGTGGTTTCGTGTTGGTTTGTTCTCCCATTGATCACTCACACATGCATTGAGTCGGGCAAATCTCAAACCCAGTTCATCCATCTCAATTTGACTGTCGATTTGGGTAAATCTGTCTTCCATCTTTCATACCCATCGAATTCAGCACCGTTTGCTGATTGGCTAAATAATTATCTCACCAGTGGCATCAGCAGGCCTGGGCGCGAACCATAGAATGAGTCGGATCGGATTTGACTCGTTTTAGGACACACAACCGGCCCTGTGCTTCCTATCAAGTGATAAGCTGTGTTTTGGGGCATTCGGATGCATTATTTTTTGTACGTATTTTTCTGGGATATTGCATCAAACGGGGAACCCGAGATAGTGCAGAGGCTGGAACTATGAATCGATCGATCATATTAATTGATGGACCCGAAAACACTACTGATCACATCGCACTGAGTCCGAAGGTCGTGCAAAAGCTTGAAAACTGCTGGTGCTGCTTGCACAGTGAGTTTTTCTCTCAACTGGAACAGTTCGGCTTCCACCAGGAGGGACGATGACCCAAACTTTCTCATCTCAGATCAAGGACAGTGTTTTCTCCGCCTGCAGATGATGCGGTTGCTTCAGGAAGGCAGTCCTGTTTAAGGGCTTGGCGGTAATAAATTATGTCCGTATCGCTTAACTATCAGGTGTGCTATTTTGGTGAACGAATATGTGGTGGTGAATGATTGTGAACAGTCATGCGTGCATTCACACTCTTCAAGAGGTGTTCCTTCGTAGACTTTCCTCGTCTTTTTTATATACTTAGAACAAAAAAGCTGAAAGGCAATTCATGGTTGCTTCGTTTCGACTCACTAATCAATTGCATTGCTGAGAAAATGGTAACGTTTGCGTAGCCGAGTGATTTTATCGTTAAGGTGAAACAGAAACCGTTCCCCTCAAAGGCCTCATCAGTTCATGCCAACACAGCCAGTTCTGGCGTTACGCTTTGATAACGGTACCTGAGGGTAACCTCGGACGGAGATCACTCAGTGAATGGATCGAGGTGTCGAATATCATGCCGACTGAAAACTGAGGGGATCGGTGACAGTGTCCACTTTCAAAAAGAGGTCAGCAATCAGGTCGACCCCGGTCGTAATGAGATTCTTGGTGTCACTTTCCTTCTTGCCTTATGATAGTCCTTGAAGCATTAACTCGATAGCAGTAAGTGGGACTGTGAGGGTTGCCTTGACAAAACCTTCACACTCCCTCAGGAGCTAGAACAACGCCACACGTATAAGAGAACTGCGATTTTCGTATTCCTACATTTCCAAAACGCGGCTGACGGGTCTGTTCTCCCTAGTACGCCTGTTTAGCAAAGAATGCCTTGAGAGAACATTATAAACGAGAGATTCAGCCGGATTCAGTTGGATCTCCCGTCAAAACTAAATCAGCATGCAAGCGAGTGTATTTTCGGAAAGTTTCCTTCCTTTCAGTGCCGCCGGGACACCCAGTTGTTCACCGTCGTGTCCTGGCTGCGCGTGCAGTTGGTTGGCAAGCTCGGTTCAGCTGAGCTTGACTGCCTGTTCGCACTCGCGGCTAATTCCGTATGCAGCGCGTTTTAGATCCCCTGACTTAGTTCTGTCTCACATTCACATGTCCGAGGAGGGAACGGCATCGATTGCTTCCTATACAATAGTGCATGTGTCAGATGCTAAGGCATACACATATTGACCTGTGTTCAACAACGCATGAGGGGGGAGTGTGAGAAGAACCCGTTTACGAAATACATTGTTTGTAAGGCAGAAGCCAAAACTTGTATGACACTATTCCGTCAATTGGGAAACCGTCTTTAGCCAGGCACCCACCCGTCGGTTCGCAGCGAACTAACGGAGTACATTTTGGTGATCAGTGCTTTCGTTAGTTCGCGTCATGCTATGCAGAAAACTCTGGTTATTGTCTCCAGCCCGTTCCAGAGCTTGACGAGGAACTCGGTGACTAGCGTGCTTCAGACAGGCCTTAACCAACTTGATTTCTGTCGCGTCAGTATCATATTTGTAAGGCAAGAATGCTAGCTGCGCAATGCTTTTTGACGAGTTCTCGTTGCCATTGCCATATTTGGGTGATGTTGTGCACCAGTCTATTATTATCTATTTCGAGGGCCCCTGTTTCACATCTACTGAGAAACACGGCACCTAAATGTGCTTACTCGTTCAGCGCCACATGACAGCCATACGATCGCCGCTGGAGCTCTGGCAGAATAGAGAAGTCGCATACGAGTACATTGTCTGAGCGGTCTAGTATCATCACCAGTTAGCTGCATTTGATCTTGTTTGGATTAATCACTAGACGAACCCCCCGCCATCATTGTTTCTCTTCCTCTACCATTCTAGCATTCTGTTCATGAACTCTTGATCAGTACGATCGCCCGACTGGAACAATACGATCAGCTGAGCTATTGCATTCAAAGTCGTCTGTTAGCCGATTCAAAACCGATTGTAAGTCAGCTTCTAAGCCCTGTCTCGGCTCCTCCGTTTTCAAAAGATTGCTTCCTATTACAGAGTATCCTAACGATTCATATTCTCAGTAACATTATTCATTGGTCAGCCATTTTGCGCTTCTTTCTGGCAAAGCATATATGTCCGGTGGGTTGCGGGTGGGGTTCGTCATGTAAACTAATAATGGGTACGGGGAATTAGCTACGAAATGAGCAGGTTTAGCCCACGGTATCATCGGCCAGAGGCTGTGAGCTGAATCTGAAGGGACGTGTGTATCAAGCTACAGTACGGGCTGTTTTATTGTATGGCTGTGAGACTTGGCCTATTCGAGCATCGGACCTGAGACGTCTTCAGGTGTTCGACAATCGTTGTCTCAGAACCATAGCTCGCGTGGGTTGATGTCGGCGAATCCGTAACGAGGCAGTTAGAAAGCGCGTTTTCGGTTGTGTAATGGGTACTTCCATTGAAGAATGTGTCCAACACCAGAAGCTGCGTTGGTTGGGACATGTGTTACGTATGCCGAACCATCGTTTGCCGAAGAGAGTACTGTTTTCCATGCCCAATTCAGAGTGGCGTAAACGGAGAGGTGGCCAACCCATGACCTGGCAGAGGAGTATGAAGGAGATCACGAAGCGCTTGGGTGCTGTCGGTGCTACTGGCCTTCCAGGATGGGGACCGCGTGATCCTCACTGTGCCTGGTTGGAGACACTACAAGATATGGCTGCCAACCGATGTCAGTGGCGTTNACCTCAGAATGATTGTGTTAAGCTAGCACTAAGTCCCTCCCCCATCCACCTTTATTCTTTTCTTTACAATAAAGCTTGCAAATAAGTCATGGTTGTGTGGCAGTGAAGCATCGGTGTTGAACACTGATGTCATGCTGTCGATGATGATGATGATGTGAGCAACATCCCGACGACAGATGTCCTTCCGTCTAGTGGTATTATTAACCGTGCAGCGCTGGATACTGCCTCCCCGAAGATGTCACTGAGTTAAGGGTCTAGAAACATATCTGGTTGATGTTGTGTTATCTTCATTAAAATGGAAGCTGCTAGCAAACATTGTAAGTTTTTTGCTATCGTCCGTTCTCTATTGGGATGGTAGCTCCAAATCTTGCTTTCAAGCGATCCTTTAACTGCGCTTACCTAACCGAGGGTTGGAGTCACCTGTGTATGCTGAAATCTACGGAATACCAGTAGATCAGGGCCTAGGGCATGAACTCTTGACCGTGTGTTCCGCGATCTGAACCCAGCCCTGAGTGTTTTCGGTTGTTCTACGCGCACCTAACCGGTCTAGCATTGTTATGCACCTGAAAGTCAACTGCATTTTCGCACGAGAATTCAAATGTATATATGGTTGTTTACTTGATTCTGCTACCTCACAGAAAGCCTTATTACACCCAACAGCTTGGGTTTTTAAATCAAACAACGTTGAGGTTGACACTGGTTTGCTTCTCAGCTACTGCGATTGACCGTCGTAAGCATGGTTCTTATGTGACTGGATTCTTAGTCAACCAGATCAACTTTTCTATTTAGAAACGTCGCGACAATACACAGAAACACCATGTATATATCCGCATTGCCGGCCGTGAAAACCGTGTTCTGTGGTCTTCCTGAGCAAGGAAAGCTCTATAAAGCCCACTGTTGAATTGATTTGGTAAAGTTCGAGTGCCATAAACAAAATCCGTCTTCCTGAACGTTTTGTTTCCATGGTCTTCTGTCCTCATGGGGTCTTTCATAAACACTCGTTCTCTGAAGCATGCATAACCATGGTCTTACTCTGTATATAGCACGTATATTGCTAGTACACTCAACCCCTATCTGCTCCAGCTGAATGATTTTTTTAGATGTGAAAAATGAGCGGATCGGACATCTTTTCCCATTGTTTGTACTAGTGACAATAAGTTACCTATAGTTTATCTTGCTAGAAACTCAATCCGGACTTCAACCTATGACTGGTTAACTTTACACCGTGCTTACTATCGGAATTTGAAGTGAAAATATCTAGAACTGGTGTGAGATTTTAAAATAATGTCAGCAGATGGCAACACTAGATGTAATGGGAGTCTATTTGATCTCCGACCTCGTAGGGTCCCATTCAAGATGATCGTTACTGCACTGGTCTTACTCTTATCATAACAATTGGAGTTAGGACACGAGCAAAACCATTCAACCTATCGTCTGTCCTGTTGCACTGAATGTGTGAATGTGACTGAGGTCAGCTGTCGACTGTCTACATTGATCCCTAAACGTCTTCAGACACTCGGGATACTTACAGAAACAAAAGTAGCATTGAGTTCTGAATTAAGTAGCGCTTGCTCATCGTTGCCCGGAGAATGCTTGTCATATTGCTTTCTTCCTTACCCTAATGCCATCTCTGTTTTCCGCTCCTAAACTAGGTTTACGATAAATGGAATCAAAGCGTTTGCTGTAATAATTAGTGCTGATGTACTTTTAACCCATATTAGAGATCCATAGGACGTAGTACTAGTGTTGTCAATCCCGAGCGTGCTATTTCGACCGAACTATGTAGCTAGATTTTATCCGTCTTTAATGTATACAGTTTTGTGTTGTATGATATTCTTAATGATTCTTGGTTAGGAAGCAACACAGTGAAACTGTTGTGTTACCACTACCTTATTTTCATGCGATCGCTAACTCTATATCCTAGTGTTCTCAGTATTTTGGAAAATATAAACTCTAAGTACACTTACCGTAAACGAAAAGACACATTGAAATGGATCGAATCTCTCGCTTATTTCTGCTCTGCCAACGTACCTTCGCCCCAACTCCCTTGAACTTCACACCGTATCGGCCACATTGCCCAATGAATTAATTGTTTATTTGTCCCGTATATGACTTCCACATTGAGCCAGACGTTGATGTCGTCTACTTTCATATGGATGGGGTATCATCTGGAAGTTACATATTCTGCGATACATTGTTGATTGTCCAACCCAGGACCCTGTGGTTTCAAGCGCCAATACCCCTTTCATTTACTTCCAACTGGGAAAATTTTCCCCAGTATTTGTATCATCCAGACTGATGTATCATTACCGTCAACTGTCTGTGATAATGGTATATTACATTCAAGCTAGGAAACCGCGTTTCTCGTTAGCTACGGAGCCTTTCGGTTCAACTTGGGTTGTTCAGCTGGCCTGTCTTCTGTTTTTAGTTCCTTGATTCCCTTCATTCCATTCACTGTTGGGGTGCTTACTATGCAAACGATCTAGTCTAACACTGAATGTGAATTTCGGTAACTAGTTTATGCACCTTACATGGTCTTGGGTGGCATCATAACAGCTGAGAGCGATGTTTGGGTAACAAGTAGGTAGGAAAACCAATGTTCGAATAAAGTCGAGCATTTTCTGTAGGTGAGCCGCCGGACGCAATTCAGAGGCTCAGCGTACTCTTCCGGGGATCAAAACTCGGTTGAATGGGCATCCATTTTGCCACTCCAGATGCCAACCTCATACTACCATTGTTCAGAGTCTGAGTTTGTTGGAATGTTTACAAATTCCCCCGTGGTTTCCAGGCTTCGCCAATCAGATTTTACCCTCCTGACCTTCGAAATTCCTGGCCGAGTGGTCAGTAAAGCGCTTACCTCCATTAAGGCGGACCTGTACTCGTATTTCTGCTTCGCATTAGTTCATTGACAGTAGTTGTTGCCCTATTTCTCGACATTGCATCTGGTCCCGTTTCCCATCATCTATGCTCTTCTTTTCTGCTCCCCCTTTAGGCGTTACAGTTGCTAGCTTTGGAGTCCGTCTATCCTGCAGCTGGCCAGCTTGCAATTGACATGCTGAAAGTAAGTGATCAAAGTATCCATCGAATACTCAACACTACTCTATTGTGATAGACCGTCAACCTTTTTTCTGTGTTTATGAGCGAATTTTTCGCCCGATCAGTCTAATAACTTCACCAGGACTTGGTAAATTTCTCATTCGAATTCAGTCATCTGGGGTGTAACATCGATCGCCGTGATTAATATTTGCCTGTTTTTGTCATACTAGTTATATTTCGTGTTTGTTGTGCATCTCTCGGCACTTACTTCATTTACTTACAACAGATTTTTCCAGACCAAGGGCGAGTGAACTTCAGTCATGCCTCAGATTGTTGGGCTTCATCAGTAGCCTCTCGACAACCGTCCCATAAAATACGCTAAATCTGGCATGCTGGGGGCTGTATCGTTCAAGTCTGGCTCACTGAACTACATTTTGCCACCCTATGTTGTACATTCGTGTCTGAGGCAACTGGTTACTGACTCAACTAATGGTTTCAATGCCACCGCAAATACACACTCCAGTATGACAGTTTTCTGTCACATTTCAAGATAGAAGCCGTGTAACGACGGTTTCCTCACAAGTGATCATGTTTTCACCAAATTCACCTGACTGCTTCGCACTGCACAAGGATGAGCCGGCTTCATAGATGACCAGTTTCGCACAACAGTAGGGCTTTGGCCAATTCGGGTCCACTTTTTTATTTCAGTATCAAGGATCGCTCAGTTTATGTTTGTATGCCGATGAAAAGGAACATTCGATTGATCATCTGTAAACCGGGTGTACATTGCTTCCAGCTTCCAGTTTCGAAAAATGGAAGAGCGTAAGAGACAGCCAAACATGGGAAGCGTGGTATGATCGGTTAGTTCGCATTGTGTATTACTCTGATGGAACGGGAAACTGGGTAGGTACGCATTGTAGGTGATAGCTTCGACGCATCAGCGCCATTGATTGCTAGATTGAACCTGGTGTGCGATTAACCACCAATGAGTTAAGTTCGGGATCCCAATCTAGGGAAGCGGCAGTCGTTAACCCGGCTGAGTTTACTAGTTGCTATCTTCACAGTTCGCTATCCACCTCTGTTGCTTCCACTCAGCACAGTACTGAGTAAAAATAGCTCTAAGACAGACTACCCTTCAGCATGCCACGTACATGTCCCAACTAGCGTAACAGATGAAGCTTGAATAGCTCATCAATCGTGGGAAAGTTCCTTTTTCTTGGAACTAACTCAGCATTGATAATCCGATATTCCCACCAGAGGCATTGATGGTCAAACACCGAAAGCTTTCAAACATCCTCTGCGCATACAGGTCACGTTTCTGATCCATAAAACAGCATGGATCGTACCGTCGCACTGGATACCCCGCCCGTGACAGAAAAACCGAAGTAACGCCGAGCCATGTGTC